AGAGGCCTTATAGTCCTGAAGAGTCTTATAGTTATTAGACCCTGAAGAGTCTTATAGTTATGGCCCTGAAGAATATTATAGACCTGAAGAGTCTTATAGTTATGAACCTGAAGAGTCTTATAGTTATGGCCCTGAAAGGCCTGATAGACTTACAAGGTCTTATAGTTATGGACTGAAGAGCCTTATAGACCCTGAAGAGCCTGTTGGGCCTCATGAAGTCTTATAGTTATGGACCGCAAGAGCCTTATAGACCTGAAGAGCCTTATAGACCTGACGAGTCTTATAGTTATGGCCCTGAAGAGCCTTATATGACCTGAAAGTCTTATAGTTATGGCCCTGAAGAGCCTTATGGTCCTGAAGGAGTCTTATAGTTATGAACCTGAAGAGTCTTATAGTTATGGCCCCTGAAACCTTGTCTGAAGGTCTTATAGTTATGAACCTGAAGAGTCTTATAGTTTATGGCCCTGAAGAGTGTATAGACCCTGAAGAGTCTTATAGACCTGAAGTCTTATACTTATGGCCCCTGAAAAGGCTTATGTCCTGAAGAGTCTTATAATTATGGACCTGAAGGCCTTATAGTCCTGAAGTCTTTAGTTATGGCCCTGAAGAGTCTTATAGTTATGGCCCCTGAAGAGCCTTGAGAGGACCATGGAAATCAAAGGGTCATGGAAGGCCTTGATTAATTTTTTTCATGGGAATTATCGGAAAATTGTAAATTTTTAGAATTTATGGAATTTTGAGAAGTTATGGAAATTTTGAAGTTATGGAAATTTGAAGTTATGGAAATTTGATTATGGAAAATTTTGAGAAGTTATGGAAAAATTTTGAGAAGTTATGGAAAATTTTGAGAGTTATAAATTTGAGAAGTTATAAATTTTGAAGTTATGGAAATGTTATGGGCTCAAAGGGTGACGTGGGTGTATAGAATAGATGTGTGTGTGTGTGTGTGTGTGTGTGTGTGTGTGTGTGTGTGTGTGTGTGTGTGTGAATGTGTTTATAACGATGGTGTAATCCTTTGATGTACACTGTGCTCATTAGTGGATCATTAACACACAGACAGACACTTAGAGTTTATTATGACTGTAAGTGGTATCGGATCCCAGGTTCCTATCAGGTCTCGTCAGGTTCCCATCAGGTCCGGTGCCGTTTCAGGACCCATCAGGTCCCAGGTCCCATCCTGGTCCCCATCAGGTTCAGGTCCCCATCAGGTCCCAGGTCCCCGTCAGGTCCCCCATCAGGTCCAAGGTCCCGTCCCAGGTCCCCATCAGGTCCCAGGTCTCGTCCCAGGTCCATGAATCAAGTTCCTGGTCCCAGGTCTCCATCAGGTCCCAGGTCTCGTCCCAGGTCCCCATCAGTCCCAGGTCGTCCCAGGTCCCCCATCAGGTCCCAAGGTCCCGTCCCAGGTCCTCAATCAGGTCCCAGGTCCCGTCCCAGGTCTCAATCAGGTCCCAGGTGGTGTTGTTCTGACGTGGTCTTTCATGTAGCTGAATGGCTGGTCTTTGTTTGTGTGTTGGGTCAGGAATCCATTGGATCAGTTAGGTTAGGTTAGGTTAGGTCAGAGAGTCAAGATAGGTTAGGTTAGGTTAGCTTACCTTAGGTTAGGTTTTAGGTGGTTGATTAGGTCAGGTTAGGTTAGAGGTAAGATAGGTTGGGTTAGGTTAGGTTACAGTGTTGTAGCGCAGGTTAGGTCAGGTTAGAGTAAAGATAGGTTAGGGTTAGGTCAGGGTCAGGTCAGGTTAGAGGGTAAGATAGGTTAGGTTAGGTTAGGTTGGCTTCACCTATGCACTAATACCAAAGCCATACCAGCCACTGACCAATCACATCACACTGGGGCAGGAAGGCGGGGTACCCAAGGGGTCCTCATGGTATTGTCTAGTGGCCCCCCCCAATGCCAGGTGCATTACGCTAATTAATTAATTTACATATACCACTACCTCCACCTCCCTATGTCCCAGAATATATGATGTGTGGGTTTGTGTTTTGTTGTATTGTGTGTTTGTTATGTTTGGTGTGTTTGTGGTTCAGGTTTGTATGTTTAGGTGTGTCTTGTCAGGTGTGTCTTCTTGTTGCATCACAGTCCCTAGCAACCCTAACCCTAACCTAACCTTCTTCTTCTTTAACTCCTAACAAACCTTCACAGATAAATAGTAAGAAGTTCTCGCTGGTTGGCCTCTTGTTTGACTATATGGAGCCACTCCTCAATAACACACACACACACACACACACACACACACACACACACACACACACACACAGTTAACCGCACCACTCCACTGTATGACCCCGAACCTAACCAAACCAACCAAACCAAACCTAACGAAACCAAACCTTAACCAAACCAAACCAAACCTAACCAAACCAAACCAACCAAACCAAACCTAACCAAACCAAACCAAACCCACCAACCAAACCTAACCAAACCAAACCAAACCTAACCTATCAAAACCCAAACTAAACCAAACCCAACCAACCTAACCTAACCTAACCTAACTCAATCCCACCCACCGTAAATCTGGTCTTGCTCTAAGTGTTGGTCCAGATCAATAACCTTCCCCACAGACGTCATGCATAAACAAACACGAGACGCGGTGTGCATTGTGGGAAGTTTGTGTTTAGTCTGACATCATGGCAGTGTGTGTGTGTGTGTGTGTGTGTGCGTGCGTGCGTGTGTGTGTGTGTGTGTGTGTGTGTGTGTGTGTGTGTGTGTGTGTGTGTGTGTGTGTGTGTGTGTGTGCTGGTAATACTGATATTTTGTCGTTATTTTATATTTACATTTATGGATTTTATGAACAATGAAACCTCCATTTAACGAACTATATAGAGATTAAAGTCCGCTATATGGAGGGTAATCCGCTATATCCGTTATATCCGCTATATGGAGGAATCCGTTATATGGATCTTTCACTGGATTAACTCTTATTTCCTTTTAATGGGGTGGATTATTGTGGATTATTTATATCCAAAATTAAATCGTCCAGAAAAATACAAATACGAAATAAAATAAAATAAAATAAGTTAAATCGTGTGACAGAATTTATTTATTTTTATATTATCGAAAATAAAATAATAATATTTTTCTCGATACTAAAATGACATCAAAATTACGCTGAGACTCTACCTTAACTAGATACGTTCACTTCTGCACCAGTTAGGGGATAAAATTAATCAGACTCTACCTTAACTAGATACGTTCATAGCACCAGTTAGAATAAAATTAACACTGAGACTCTACTTTGTGTTTTGGTTGGGTTTTGGTTTTTGTGTTTTGAGTTAGGTTAGGTTAGGTTAGGTTAAGTTTTGTTGATGGATTTCACTTACGAGCAAAAAAATTTCTCTACGAACCTTAGTGACTTGGGTTCTTGTTGTTGTTGTGAGAATCTGCGAGTTTGTCTCAGACACCCGGCGTCGATACTCTCTCTCTCTCACCTTAGCTCACACTCATCAGGGGTTCACCTTGGGTTACCTGCAGTATATAACAGCCAGATGAGGAAACTGGCTGTGTACAGGTGTGGAGGGTACAGGTGTATGGAGGGTACAGGTGTGTGGAGGTGGATGATGACTGTACAGGTGTGTGGAGGTGGATGATGACTGTACAGATGTGTGGAGGTGGATGATGACTGTACAGGTGTGTGGAGGTGGATGATGACTGTACAGGTGTGTGGAGGTGGATGATGACTGTACAGGTATGTGAAGGTGGATGATAACTGTACAGGTGTGAAAGTTGGTTGTCTGTACCAGTCATTCCTACATATTAGTCACATATATGTATTTTAAGGGACAATTATAAACGTTATATGTATACAAGGCCGGAGATTATGTAGTATATGTATATTTTAGGGGATATATGTAGGTTATATGTAGTATATATATATTTAATGGAGAAATATATGTAAGTTTAGTATACATATGTATTTTGGGGTGAGATAATATGTCATTATTGTACTGAGTCATGTGTGTGAGTCCTATGTGTGTGTGTGTGTGTGTGTGTGTGTGTGTGTCTAAAATAACTGTATAGCATTGTATTAGGTCAGTAGTGTATGCAAAGTAGGGCATTACGGTTGCTAATTCTGTTGCAGAGGTTGATGATGTAGACAGAGGTCATATTGTAGTCACAGTTGTAGTAGACGTTCAGGTGTGTTGCTATGATTGGGTGGGGGGGGGGGAGAGAAGGGGTGTTATTGGATGTGGGGGAAGTGTTGGAGGTAATTGAGAGACAGAGGGAGTGTTGGAGGTAATTGGGGAGACAGAGAGAGAGGTTTGGAGGTAATGAGGGAGACAGAGGGTGTTGGAGGTAGTTGGAGGAGATAGAGAGGGAGTGGTTGGAGGTAGTGAGGGAGAGAGGAGTGTTGAGTGTAGTGGAGGGAGATAGAGAGGGAGTGTTGGAGGTAATTGAGGAGATAGAGAGGGGGTTGGGAGGTAGTTGAGGAAGACAGAGAGGGTGTTGAGGTATTGAGGGAGATAGAGAGGAGTGTTGAAGAAGAGAGGGGTGTTGGAGGTAATTGAGGGAGATAGAGAGGGTGGTTGGAGGTAATTGGGGAAGACAGAGAGGGGTGTTGGAGGTAATTGAGGGAGACAGAGGGGAGTGTTGGAGGTAATTGAGGGAGACAGAGAGAGTGTTGGAGGAGAGAGGGAGTGTTGGAGGTAATTGAGGGAGAGGGGGTAATAAAACACGGGCAGGAGAGTTGGCCCTCAGTAAGCCTGTTGTCACATGCCTCCACACAGGAGAGGAAACGCCTCCCTCCCCCCTCACTTCCCTCACCTGCCACTCCTCACTCAGCAGGATTCTTATGTGTGGTGTGGGTGTGTGGTGAGGTTGGTGGCGTTGGTTAGGTTGAATAATTAAAATAGTGAGGTTTGAGGGTGGGGGAGGGAGGGGGAGGGGTGGAGGAGGGGGGGGTATTGTTGGTCCTCTCGGGCGGAGTGTGAGGGGAGGAGGAGGGTGGCGGAGGAAGGAGAGAAGGGTGAGGGAGAACTGCTGGCTGCCTCAGTGTGTGGTTGGTAGTGTGCGCGTGAACACCACTCTCTCACACCGAGCTCTCTCTCTCTCTCTCACTCTCTCCCTCTCTCACACACACTCACACACCACACTACACCCCCGCTAGTGTACGACACCCGCGGGGTCGTGTGAGAGTGAGGAGATTTCTACACTGACTCGGTTGGTATTATCACTACGAACTAAGGAAGGAAAATGTGTGTGTGTGTGTGTGTGCGTTTGTATGTGTTTTGTGTGTGTGTGTGTGTGTGTGGTGGACCCAGACACGCCCATACTTTGGTGTGGACCATTGTTCCTCCCACCACACCACCACACCACACCACAACAACAACACAGGAAAAAACAAGAACAAGTGCTCTATTATCGTGATATATCGATATGTAAACAAAACACCAATGAACAACTGGCGGTGATGTACTGTAATATCATCGCTCGTTTGTATATGTACAGGTGTATGTGTATATATGTACAGTATAACCAAGCAATGACACACCTGCACCAGTACATACAGGTGTGTCAAGCATCAGTGCAACATTACCTCGTGCAGGGAGGGTTGTGGTGGTGATGGCCAGCCAGTGCGGTGAGCCAGCACACACACACACACACCCTCCCTCTCTCTCCTCTGATCAATATCACATGTGTTTTGGTGTGGTACCTCGAGTGTTAAGGGCTCGTCCTCAAACACATATGTGACTTGGAGACTCTCATGTATATACTGAAGGAGGAGATGAAGGAGGAGGTGAAGGAGTAAGGAGTAAGGAGTAAGGAGTAAGGACAGTACTGGTGACAGGAGTATGGAGCACCTTCCAGTACAGTGTTCCCCTCCATCTCCCTGCCTGGCTGAAGCTGTGACTGACCTCCTCCCCCCTACAGCCACCCAGCACTCACCAACATTATAAGTGGTTTAAAACTATTGATCCAACCCCTTGTACCATGTTGCTTCATTCCTCGTTGTTGCTTCACTTATATCCTTATTCATTGTCGTTTTGCTTCACTCATATCCTCATTCCTCCTCGTTGTTGCTTCACGCATATCCTCATTCCTCCTCGTTTTGCTTCGCTCATATCCTCATTCCTCCTCGTTTTGCTTCACTCATAACCTCCATTCCTCCTCGTTTTGCTTCGCCATAACCTCATTCCTCCTCGTGTTGTTTCACTATAACCTCATTCCTCCTCGTTTTGCTTCACCTATAACTCATTCCTCCTCGTTTTGCTTCACTCATAACCTCATTCCTCCTCGTTTTGCTTCACTCATATCCTCATTCCTCCTCGTTTGCTTCACTCATAACCTCATTCCTCCTCGTAGTTGTTGCTCATATCCTCATCCTCCTCTCGTTGTTGTTTCACTCTCATAACCTCATTCTTCGTTTTGCTTCACGCATATCCTCATTCCTCCGTTTTGCTTCACGATATCCTCATTCCTCCTCGTTTTGCTTCATCATAACCTCATTCCTCCTCGTTGTTGCTTCATCATAATTTCGTGTTTTCACTATAACTCATCCTCCTTGTTGTTTTCCTTATACTTCATCCGCATGTTGCTTCACATAAATAAAATTCCCTCATATACCTGTAATGAGTTGAGTCGTGAGTTTAGTGACGTCAAGCAATTGCTGTCTCATCTTGATGTCCGATGAAGATTTTTAATGATAATTGACTTCATTAATTTTCAGAGTTAATTAAATTATTATTATTTTTTTAGTAATTAATTAATGATGTGACGTCTTTGGGGTTTTATTTACTCCTGTATGTAATTGTTGTCGTTTGGTTGTTTTTGTGTTTTAATTGGGTCAACTACCATGGGAACCTGACCTGACCTGACCTAACCTTACCTGACCTGACCTAACCTAACCTAACCTGAACGTACCTGATGGGTTTATTTATTATCCTGTCTCACCTGTCGGGTAATTAATCGTTTTGTACCTGTGCGTAAGATGGAGAGAGAGAGAGAGAGAGGGGAGAGAGAGAGAGAGAGGAAAATTTACTTTTGTTTACGATAAAGGAATTTCTTGAACCTGTGTAGCTCTATGTTTGTTGGTGTCATACAGTGCTGGGTGTCATAATGTAGGTGTCATATGGGGAGGAGTATATGTGCTGGATATGCTGTTGCCTGTCATATAGTGCTGGTGTCATAATGAGGTGTCATATAGTGGTGGGTGTCATAGCGGTGGGTGTTCATATGTTGTTGCTTGTCATATAGTGCTGGTGTCATAATGGAGGTGTCATAAGTGGTGGGTGTCATATGCTGTTGCCTGTCATATAGTGCTGGTGTCATAATGGAGGTGTCATAGTGTGGGTGTCATATGCTGTTGCCTGTCATATAGTGCTGGTGTCATAATGGAGGTGTCATATAGTGGTGGGTGTCATGTTGTTGCCTGTCATATAGTGCTGGTGTCATAATGGAGGTGTCATATAGAGTGGTGTGGGTGTCATATGCTGTTGCTTGTCATATAGTGCTGGTGTCATAATGGAGGTGTCATATAGTGGTGGGTGTCATATAGTGGTTCGTGTCATACAGTGGTGGGTGTCATAGTGGAGGTGTCATATAGTGCTGGGTGTCATAATGGTGGGTGTCATATAGTGGTTCGTGTCAAGCAGTGGTGGGTGTCATAATGGAGGTGCATATAGTGCTGGTGTCATAATGGTGGGGCCATAGTGGTTGTCATACAGTGGTGGTGCATAGTGATGGGTATCATACAGTGGGTAGTCATACAGTGGTGGTGTCATACAGTGGGTGTCATACAGTGGTGGTGTCATACAGTGGTGGTGTCATATAGCGGGGTGTTATAATGAGGGGTGTCATACATGGTGGGGTGTCATACAGTGGTGGGTGTCATACAGTGGTGGGTGTCATTCGGTAGCTTTGTGTTCGCTGTTCATAAGCCTTCTCTCTTCAGCAGCTGTAGTACGCCCGCTCACTTTTATTTACTCATTCTCTCTCACTTATTAAAATCCCCTCTCTCTTCCTTCTCGGTTTCTAAGGACACCAGATTTATCGGATAATTAACCGGGTTCTCCTACTAGGGGGACTGGGGTGGTCTTACTGGTGGGTTAATCCGGGGGTCAGTGAGGGTTGAATCCGGGGGGGTGGGGGTTAATTCGGGTTAACTATAAGGGGTTAATCCAGGACTGACAGTTTTAAGAAATTATCAAAACGGCTACTGACGTTTGATTGTCAGCTCGTAAAAATGTCAGCAATGTTTGGTCGATAGAAGTCAGATTGATTGTTTTAAAGGACTTTGGACGTCAGCAGTGTGGAGGCCTTCACTGTCAGCATTCTGTAAAAATTGACCTTCGCGTTGTCAGCTGATTGACTTGTTGATGTCAGCAGTGTCTAATACTTTTCTTCTCGCTGTCAGCTGATTGGTTTTTCGAAGTCAGCTGTTTATATAATTAATTTTCACGGTGTCAGCTTTTTGGTATAATTGATGTGTTAGATGCTGACAGTTTAATCTAAATATTAACAAGAAACTGTTTAGTTCTGTCAGCCATGAGTGTAAGCAGTGTAGAATTGTCAGCCATTAGTGTAAGCAGTGTAGAACTGTCAGCCATCGTCAGCCATGAGTGTAAACGGTGTAGAATTGTCAGCCATGAGTGTCAGCCATTGTCAGCAGTAAGCCTACACACTGGCCTGTCCAATCACCCGAACCCATTTGTGAATCCGAATCCATTTATGACTCCGAACCCAGACACATCAATACAGGTTCAGGTATAAATTACAGGTACAGAAATTCCCAGGTGTTAGGAGGAAAATATGGCTCCTTTACCTCGACTTGATTCCAGGTGTGTGTGTGTGTGTGTGTGTGTGTGTGTGTGTGTGTGTGTGTGTGTGTGTGTGTGTGTGTGTGTGTGTGTGTGTGTGTGTGTGTGTGTGTGTGTTGAGGGGCATCAAAGGGTTAAGAGTAAGTGAATAACATGTATTTTTGATCCTTACTGAGGAGAGAGAGAGAGAGAGAGAGAGAGAGAGAGAGAGAGAGAGAGAGAGAGAGAGAGATATGACCACGATATCTCATCTCTTCTATAACCACTATTTATCACCACCACTTACCACCATTACTACCACTACTACCTACCACTTATTACCTACCACTAACCACCATTACCTACACTATCATTACTTCACCAATTACTACCTACCTACCATTTACTCACCACTACCACCACTACTACCTACCACCATTACCTACTACCATTACCACTAACACCACCTACCACACACCACTACCACCACTACCTACTCATCGACATCACTGAATTCATTACCACCACTACCACCACCACCATTACACCCTCCTCACTACTACCGTCACCTCTCGTTTACAGCACTTATTTCTCCTCCCTCCCCCTCCCCCACGACTTCCCTCTCATTACTGCTCCTTCTCCTTCCACTCTCTCCCCTCACCCCCCGTCACCCCCTCTCACTCTCCAGGAGCATCGCCACGCCCACATCCACAGAGGTAGTGGTGGAAGAAAAGGAGGGAGGGGTCGTAGGTGAGGGAAGGAGGGAGGGAGGAGGGGAGGGGGGGAGGGAGGGAGGAGGAGGGTGGTGGGGGGGGAGGTAGGTGGGAGGGTTGAGGAGGGTGAGGTGAGGGGATTGAGGGGGGTGTGGTGAGGAGGATTGAGGGAGGGTCGTAGGTGAGGGAGGGAGTGAGGGAGGGGTCAGGTGAGGAGGGAAGGGAGGGAGGGGTGGGGAGAGGGTTGAGGAGGCGTGAGGAAGAGGGGGGAGTGAGGGAGGGGCCGTAGGTGAGGAGGATTGAGGAGGTCATGGAGTGAGGAGGAGGATTGAGGAGGTCGTAGGTGAGGAGGGATTGAGGAGGTCGTGAGTGAGGATTGAGGAGGTCGTAAGTGAGGAGGAGAGAGGAGGGGAGAGGGGGAGGGGGTCATGGGTGAGGAGGGATTGAGGAGGAGGAGGGAGAGGGAGGGGGCCGTAGAGTGAGGAGGGAGAGAGGAGGGGTCATGGGTGAGGAGGGATTGGGGAGGGGGGTCGTCGAGTGTAATATAAGCACTATATGGTGTAATGTGAGTGATTATAGGGTGTTATACAGCGGGGAGCACAGGTGTGTATAGTACTGTATGGTGTATGGGGCTGTGTATAGTGAAGGTGATAGTGTGGGAGGGGGAGGGAGGAGGAGGGGGGAGGGGGAGGAGGGAGGGAGGAGGAGGGAA